TCCCCCTTTTTCCCCCCTCATCCCACCTTCCCCTCCTTTCCCCCTTGCTCTGCCTGCAACCGCAACCCCCGCACCGCACAACTTTTTGGAGCGGATGACCCCCGCAGCCGGGCATGCGAGACGTCGTCGAAACGCAGCGGGGCGTTACCCGCAGCGCAAAAGAACCCTGGGGTACACCCCCGGGGGGCTATTCCTCCTCATCCTTCTCCTCCTCCTTTTCCTCTTCCTCCTGCTCCTCCTCCTCCTCCTCCTCATCATCCTCCTCCTCCTCCTCCTCCTCATCCTCCTCCTCCCGCGGTCACCCCAGAAAAAGCCTGACAGATGAGCTGCACACGACTGGGCAGTCTGAGGCAACGAGCGACAGTAAAGCTCAACGCGACGATCCCCTCCTGTCCCCTACTCCCCCCCCCCCTATCCTATTCCTCATCTCTCCTCTTCCACCTCCTCCACCTCCCCCCTCCCCTCCCATTGCCCCTGGGAAACCAAAAATACCGACACCGCACCTCCTCTGGACCTCTCCCGCGGCGCGGTCTGAATGCTACTCTCGCTGAAGCGCTGGCCTCATTTCGGGCTACCGCTCGTTCCGAATCGTGCTCCCGCTGCAGCGCTGGCCTCATTTCCGCGCTTCCGCTCGTTCCGAATCGCGTTCCCGCTGCAGCGCTGGCGTCACCATTTCCAGCTCCATGCCACGGCATGGTTTTCGGTCCTTCCAAATAATCTCCAAAAACTATAATAATAATAATAATAATAATAATAATAATAATAATAATAATAATGATAATTAGAATAATAATAGTAATAATAATAATTATTATTATTATTGCAAGGCATACCTCCTCCTCCAATCTCTGACGATGGATGAGAGAGGATATATTTCTTGAGCCAAAATATGGCGACGGTGCAAGAAGTCATTCTGTGTCTTCAGCCTGGCCCTGGGAATCCCTGATGGGGTACCCCTCTGAATTGATACATATCCGAACACCTCTCCTCAGGCATGGAGCGGTGAAGGGCCGGAAAACTGCATCGCTACTTCCAGTCTCGGTGATCACTCCGAGATCTTCCGCAACGGCGTGCAAGCCGTCTCCAACAGCACCAAATGACTCTCCAGGGCCTGCTTCGTGAGCAGGAGGCGCGGCTGCACAGAACAGGTCAGACCAGCCTTGGAAAGCAGGGCACGCACGCGCTCTAGGCGCTCTGCCTGCTCCACAGTCGGGCCCGCACCAGCCGAGATGATCATCTCGATCAGGCGTTCCTTCCGCACTGAGCCCGCACCAAGGCCAATCTTGTTCGCGCGAGCCGTCGCCCGTAGGTCAGGCACTGTCAGCCGTGAGAGAACTAGCTGCACTCTCGCATCTCCGTCGCTTGCGGTCTGCTCAGGAGCTGCACTGTCCTCAATCATCGTCTCTGGACGCTCGTCGCAAACCGCGGTGGAGCACACTCGGGCTCCAGCACAACAGCCTACTAGGAAAGAGAGCAGCGCGATACTCAGAGCCATCACGATCAGTAGCCAGGGCGCCCCTTTGGCGCCCGCCTCCGTCTCCTGGCCGCGCGCCGTCGGTAGCAGCGCGCTCACCACCACTGCTCCGAGCGGCACGAGCCGCAGGTTCATGGTCGCCATGTGCTTGTACAGGGTCTCGGATTCCACGTACTTCGTGAGGATGTCCGCGACCATCTCACTGGTCGCTTCTTTGATCAACTCTAGCTGTCGCAGTCGGACGCGGTCCTGTAGCCAGAGGTACCGCAGCTCGAGGTGGCGCACCTTTCCCACGCCGTGGCGTTGGCAGATCCCTCTGCCTGCAGCACTGTCGCTGGCCACGACCAGGCGCACGGTGACGCCCACCTCGCCGAGGAAGTGCTTCGCCTGCAACCCCCGTGCTGCACCACTGCCGATCGCGTAGAACTCCGACTCCCCCGATGACAAGGCCTGCGTGGCCTGGCTGACCGCGAACGCCTCGACCGCATGGCCTCCGAAACGGACAACTCCTCCAGAGGTCGACGTCCTGAAGAGGCTAGTCGTAGACGCCCAGTCCGCGTCCGCGTCCACGCGCAGGACCTCTGGCAAGTCCTAGAGCTCGTAGCACCAGAGCAGCCTCGGGGCGCCCTCGTAGTACCTGCACAGGCGGTGCAGGCGCGCGTTCATCAGCACGTTCGGCTTGCTGACGTGCTGCATGATCGTCTCGGAGCTGAACATGGCGTCAGGCCTGTCGCTCGAGACGTACAGGCTCAGCCCCGCCGCTGACGAGGTCGACTTGGCCTCGGCCACGGGCAGTGGGCCCAGGGCATTCCGCATGCCTGCCCCCGTAGCCTTTGTTCCAGGGGTAGGCGCTGCCTTGGAGCCCGACTTGCGGCCCCAGCGGATGAGCTCCTCCACGTGCTTCGGATCGGCGCTCCAGTAGAAGCCTGGAATCCTGGTCTCGGGCAGCTCGCTCGCGTAGCCCACGATTCGCTTCAAGTAGTTCAGCTCACCTGGGTAACCTGGGCCGATGCTCTCGGACTCGGTGACCTCGAAGTTCGCCTCCAGGAAGTTGTCAATGGCGTCAAGGGTGTCGCGGTGGCCCTCCGCCAGGAAGTCGTCGCCGTGGCAGCACATCGCGGCGTCCATGCCGTCGCCCACGAGGTTCTCGAAGTGGTAGGTGCCAGCTGTGCCCTTCAGCGGTTTGCCTCCCGCGTCGTCGATCGCTGCCTTGCTCGTCTCGCCCCAGAGCTGCGAGGCCTTCCTTGTCCCAGTCATCGCCTTGTGCAGGACCCAGCAGAAGCCTTTCGGGCACAGCTCCCAGCCTGGATGGACGTAGACCAGCTCGTCCAAGTCCGCATTGAAGAACGCCTTGCGCACGTCCCAGACACGCAGCAGGCGGCGGTGCACGCCGTCAGCGTCGGGCTTGGACGCTGCGAGGGAGATGATCAGTCTGATGACCATCAGCGGCGGCGTGCCCTGGTGGTTGTCCTCGCGGTGCTTGTCGTTCACCTCGGTCGCGACGAACCTCCAGCGCACCCTGTCGCCCTTCATGTGGGCGATCGGGAAGCCCCTCACGTGCTTCCCGCCTGGCTGGCACTGCGAGATGGGGATCTCTGAGTAGACGCCGTGCTCCCGCATCGCCTCCAACTCGTCGCGCCTGCCCTCCTGGTAGAGCTCCTCGTCCAGCGGCTCGCCTGAGTAGTAGTCGTAGTGGACCATCTGCGGGCTCTCGACCTCGTCGTCCAGGCCGTCAGCCCACATGCTGCACAGGCCCGCCACCACCGCGCTCGGGGCCTCCACGGCGCGCGCAGCGTGGATCAGGCAGAGCCGACAGGCGCAGCCCCCACGGTGGTCAGCTCGAAGCGCACACCGTCCTCCATGTGATGGGCATCTGCCGTCGCATCGGCTCTCTGGCGTGGGGGTCGGGTCCCAGACGGGGTCGTACTCCTCGGAGTCGTCCGCCTCGCAGACCGCGAGCTCACACACCGACAAGCCCGCGATGACGGTCACCTCAGGCCTCACGCCAAGAAGCTCGATCCTCTGTCGCTTGCCGCCCTGGTCCTCGGTCTCTACCGCCTCGACCTGGCGCTTGCGAGTCGTATCGTCCTTGGTGTCCATCGGCGCGTCTGGGATGTCCCCGACAGAGTGGCGGGGATGTTGGCCTGACGTGCCCTCCTGCACCTGCGCTCCTGGCCTCGGCGCGCCCGGCGCTCGGTCCTCAGGCGGCGGACGCTGATTTGGACCAGGCGCACTCTCAGGCACGGGCGTGCCAGGCATCACGCCTGGCGGCGCAGGTGTCGCTGGCGAGGCTCCCTCAGTCTTGAGCCTCCGCTCAAGCTCCTCCTGGACGATGTGCTCGAACCTCTGCCTGCACGCATCGGAGTGCTGGCCTCGTCCTGTAGAGCATTTGAGGCACTCTGAAGTCGGTCCATGTCTGTCGATCATCCTCTCTGTGATGTAGAGGCCCTTCGGCCTCGCAATCTCCTTGGCCCTAGCGGGTGCGGGGTCCCAGGGCGTCACACTGATCTGCCTCGGCAGGTCGTCGGACCAGCGGAACTCCTCGGGCATGCGGCGCACCGTGCGCACCTTGAGGAGCCCGCGCTGCAAGTCCACGACTAGGTGCTGGTCGTCGAACTCCGACTTGCCTGCCCACACGCCTTTAGCAAAGCGGGCCTCGTACTTGCCCTGACCGCTGGCAACCCGCCCAGCGATCCTATACCAAACCTGCTCGCCGATCTCGGCGACTTCTCCATCGTACTCCTTGCCAAAGAGAAACTTGTAGGAGGACCCTCCGTGCTCCCGCGGCTGGAAGCGAGTGATGTACCAGCCGATCGCGTTCGTCACGAAGGGTAGGATCGGGTGGTCGGCGTCGAGCGTGACTTCCAACCGCTTCTCCAGAGCGAACCTGAAGGTCCTCAAGAGGCCCGCTGCCAGAGAGTTGGCGCCTCCCACGCGCCCCAGACTTTGATGAGAATGCGCGGCGGCTTTACGAACGATGGTGCCATGGCTCCGATGCTTCTTGACATATTCGGCTATGGCCACGATAGCGGGTTCGCCATCAGTCAGTAGAACAACTGTGGTGTGACCCCATGAGTCTATCAGCTTCGCCACGTACAGAGTCTTGTACTGCCCGACCGTCTTGTCCGTCATCAGTGTGCCCAGCGCATTCGACCTCCCGTCGACGATGTTCAGCACAGGGATCATCGTGCGCCGCTCGCCCCTGGGGATGCGCTTGGCCTCGACGAGCTTCACGACGTAGCCGTGGCGCATCGGGCACTTCCTCGCGATCTCGTCAGTAGCCGCGAAGAAGAAGTCCATCTCCACAATCGGCACCTGGTCCGCGTCAAGCTCAGGGCTGTTATGATGCGTCGGATGCGGTTGCTCACGGGCTCGCCCCATCACACACTCGGGGCACCATGGCCTGAACGGCAGGTGGTGTGCCGCATGGGCGCGCCTCTCCTGCGCCGTCGGCTGTCCTGGTCTCGTGAGCTCCTTGGCCTTCAGGGTGACGTTCTCCGAGGGGTCTGGACCAAGCGCTCCAGGAAGAGCCGCAGACGTACTCGTAGGCACCGTCGTGGGCGCCAGCGTCTTGCGTGCTGCAGCCAAGATGCCCACAGACTCCTCAGGCTCCTGCGGTCGAAGAGCGGCCATGACCTTGCTCTGCTCGGCGTTCTGGCCGTCCTTCAGCAGCTCGTCGAACTCCAAGTAGCAGGCCGAGCGCTCCTTCTTCAGCCTGATCACCTCGGCGCCGTCGGGCGGCAGCATCGGCGCATCCACGATCCAGTCTCCCATCGGCGAGTGCAGGACTGACTGGCCTCGCCTCGTGATGGCATCTGTGGAGAGGACGGGGCACTCGATGTCGGCTACTTCCATACCCAGCTGCAGGACTGCATCTCCGCGTCGAATCTTGACGTCGGCGCGGCCATGGTGAGGGACCTTGCTACCGTCAATCGCATACAGCTCCTGGATCTTCGACTTCTGGGTCGTGTAGCCTGCGTCGTAAACCATCTGGCTGGGCATCGCCGAGATCTGCGCACCGCTGTCGATCATGATCGCATCCTTAGGCTCGTGGCTGACCGCCGCGATGGTCGCATGCCTCTCCTCGGCCTCGATCGCCTCCAACCCGAACACAAACTTGGGGGCGAGGGTGCTGGACGTGGCCTCTGAGCTCGTGGTCAAAGCTCGCAGCCCGACAGGGATGGTGCTCGCACTGCTCGCGCCACAGGATGGCGCTGTACCTGGCGCCCCTGGGTTCGGTGGTGACGGCGGCGCCTGCGTCCCTGCTCCTGGCAGTGTCGGCACTGTGCCAGCGGACAAGGCTCCAGCCTTCGCCTGAGCCCTCCGCTGCTTCTGGCGGTCCTTCTTGTCATGTTTAGCTCTCGTCGCGGCCTCCTCTGCTTCACGTCGCCGATCATCCGCAGCCTTCTTGCGGCACTCGGAGCGGACGTGGTTCGGCTTCTCGCAGTAACTGCACCACTTCTCTGAGGGCTGGGACTCGTGGCCCTTGCCCTTCTTGCCCTTGCCGTCCTTGCCGCCCTTCGCCTTGCCGCCCTTCGCCTTGCCGCCCTTGAGCGCACCGATGTCCATGGCATCCTCATTCACGCTCCTCTGGGCTGCAAGGGCATTCACCACCTCCGCTCGCATGTCGGCGTAGGTGGGCAGGCTGCGAAGGTTGCGGAACAAGTGCTTCTGGAGGTCAGGTTCCTCTGCGAGAGCACCTAGGAGGATGCCTCGAGAGACATTCGCTGACACTGTCTCACCGCTCGCTTTCTCATAGCGGGCGATCTCCTTGTCCAGCTTCATGATCTCAGTGACGATGTCCGCATCCTTGGGGAACACCGTGCCAAGAATATTCCTGAACTGTCCTACGATGTTGCCAGGCTCGTTGGGAGAGTACTCATTCAAGAGCTTCTTCCACGCCAGGGCGCCCTCTCCCTCTGCTGTGTTGGAGAGGATGCTCTCGCCCGTGCTGTCCTCGGGCATCGCAAGCACCAACATGAAGTACAGCTGGCTGGAAAGAGGCTCGAAATCTGGATTATTCACACTGCCTACGCCATTCACTAGCATAGCCACATCTGGTTCATCTTCGATGGCCTGGAACATCCTCCTGAAACGAAAATCGCTGGCCACTAGATAGGCCTTCCAGTGAAACTCAAAGGTCTTCCATGAAGAGCGTTGGCCATCGAACTGCTTGACCTTGCCCACTATCTTGCTGTCCAAGATACCTTCCATCCGTCGTGGCGCTGCTGGGGGCACTGGTGCTGCTGCTTGTGCTGGTGCTGCAGGCTGTGCCGCGGCCCTCCTCTAGAGCTCCTGCGACTGCCTCTGCAGCAAGTCTCTCAACACCGCAATCTGTTGCGCCTGCAGCTGCACCTGCTGCTCCATGGCGGCAGCTGACCCGTGACTCTCTGGAGTCACTCAGCAGAAATGCCGTGGAACAGAACTAGCTCCGCGCTACCATGCAAAGCATACCTCCTCCTCCAATCTCTGACGATGGATGAAAGAGGATATATTTCTTGAGCCAAAATATGGCGACGGTGCAAGAAGTCATTCTCTGTCTTCAGCCTGGCCCTGGGAATCCCTGATGGGGTACCCCTCTGAATTGATACATATCCGAACAATAATAATAATAATAATGATAATGATAATAATAATGATAATAATAACAATAATAAACAAACATCGGAAGTGCTTACACCTTCGGTGTCGACTCGTTGATTGCTTGGGCCGCAGAAGCCCCCCACCCCCCCACTTTGGGGCGTCCCCACGCCATGCTATGTCAGGCTACGCGTCCTCCTTTCCGCGCTTCCGCGCTTCGGTTTTTGTTCCAAATGCTGCTCTCGCTGAAGCGCTGGCCTCATTTTCGGGCTACCGTTCGTTCCGAATCGTACTCCCGCTGCAGCGCTGGCCTCATTTCTGCGCTTCCGCTCATTCCGAAGTGTGCTCCCGCTGCAGCGCTGGCGTCACCATTTCCAGCGCCATGCCACGGCATGGTTGTCCTAGAAAATGCCCCCCCACCCCGAAAAGAACCATCAGACGTGCTTACACCTTGATTGTCGACTCGTTGATTTTTGGACCGCGGAAGGCCCCCCGTTTTAAGGCGTCGCCACGCCGTGCTATGTCATGCTACGCGTTGATCTTGAACACCATGCTATGCCATGTAATGCTATGCCATGCTACGACATCCGATTGTGCGAATAGAGAGGAGATATACGCCATGGGAAGGGATGGGAGGGACGGGTAGGACGTCAGATATGACGCGAGCGCACCTAGCTTGCCTCCTTCACCTCTCCCTCCTCCTCTCGACGATTCCGCAGGACGTGGTTTGCAAAGGGTGTGGTTTGCAACCCGCACCCTTGGGGGCGGGCGAGGACCTCGACTAAGTTCTCCGCCGCGCCCCGAGGAGACCCGACGAAGGGGACATGATGCCTCCCAAACCCAAACCAACGCAAATCGCAAACCACATCCCAACGCAACTGCACCCTTCGTAGTTGCCGGTTATCCTCCTCCCCCTCCTCCTCCTCCTCCTCCCCCTCCTCCTACTCGTCCTCCTGATTCGCGGCGTTGAATTCTCAGGAATAATGTTCTGGCGCGGTTCAGGATTTTCAGACGGTTGTCTTCCAACCAGGCTCTTCCCACAGTGAAAACAAATCCTTATAGGAGCAAATCGAGAGGGAGCTTTGAGAGAGGTTTGCCTACAACATCGTTGGTGGGTCTTGGGTTTACACTGATCCTCCTCCTCTTCCTCATCCTCTTCCTCCTCCTTCTCCTCCTCTTCCTCCCACTCCTGCTCCTCCTCCCCCCTCCTCTTCCTTCTCCCCCTCCTCCTCCTCATCCTCCTCCTCATCCTCCTTCTCCTCCTTCTCCTCCGCGTCCTCCTCATCCCTCCTTCTCCATTTCTTTCCCTTATGAATAACTCCTCCCTGTCGCACCCCGAGGCCAGTCGGAAGGGCGGGCCAGGCGTTTCGCAGGAGACTTCCTTACCACTTATGAGCCTCAAGCTTAGAAACTGACAACAATTTTACAGATGAAGGCGGGTCGCTTCCAAAATGTGGCTCTCGCGTTACCGCCGCGAACATCTGTCATAGAAACATGCAAAAAGCTTCCCAGAATGATGAAGGTGCTTTCAAAATGTGGCTTTCGCCTCAGCGCCGCGCAGACTCGTTTCAAAAAAAGAATAGAGTTTCCAGAATTCTCATGGTTAACGTACCAGAAGCGGCGATTCGGAACGACTCAGGATCGTCAGGACACAACACTTCCGTTGATTCGCGGCGTTGAAGTCCCAGCAACGGTGTTCTGGTACGACTTAGGATTGTCAAGATGACTGGTGACGTTGAGGTCATGAGAACAGTGTCTGGCACGCTTCAGGATACGACCTTCAAACCGTCGTCTCCCAGTGGGGCACTTTCCTCAATGGGAATGAATCCTTGTATAGGGCCGCCAATGAAGAGGGAGCTTGGAGGGAAAGTTTCTCGCTGCATCGCTGATGAGTCTTGGGTTTACACTGGTCATTCCCCCTCCCCCTCCTCCTCCTCCACCTCCTCCGCCTCCTCCTCCTCCTCCTCCTCCTCCTCCTCCTCCTCCCCCTCCTCCCCCTCCTCCTCCTCTTCCTCCTCCCCCTCCCGCCCACAGCCAAGGGGCTCCAGGGCAGCGGGGGCTCGCCGCACAATGCCGCCCGGAGTTGCAGCAGCAGCGCGCCGGGGTAGACCTGTGCAGGGGGCGGGGGCGCCCCCCGGGGACGGAGCCTTCTGGGAGCATTCGGGGGCACTACCCGGGGGGGCCCCCACCCCCAGGCATGCTCGCGTGGAGAACAAAAAAAACAGGACGGTGGGTTTTTGGCTGCCTTCGGCCTCGGGGGGCCCTCGCTGGGCCCCGGGACCGTCGCAAAACGATTCGGGATCGCGGTCCCTTTGGAGCTCTCGGGGGCACCCTGCGGTGGGGGGCCCTGTGAAGGGGCCCAGGGAGGCACAAATTAGGAGACAAAGTTCCCAGGACTCCCCATATGTGCTGGATTTTCGCCTTCCCCTCCACTCCCTATACGATCCAATACCTTCTGGAAATCAACGTTCATTTGTGTCTGGGTGTATCTTCCCCTCGTGCGCGCCGCCGCGCGCGAAGACCCTGCGCTTCGGAGTCGCCTGGGGGTCGCACCCCGATCCTCGATCCTCCAATACTCGATCCTCGATTCGAGTAAAAGATCGACTACAGAATTGATGCACCCCAAGCTTGCAAAAGTCGTCGGATCTGCAAAAAGCACGTCGAATATTTTGTGGATCTACGAGCACTCGACGTTTGTATATTGTAGACCCGACGAACAAATCAATTCTGGGATGAATACTTTCTGTAGTCGATCCACTACTCGATCGATCCATCCTCGATCCTCGATCTGTCGGGCCGGCGTCGCCACGCGGCGAAATACTGAGGATGACGGACTTGGCGCGGGCGGCCCCGAGAGGCCCCCGGTCCCAGCTCCTCGAGCGGAGATGCCTCCTCCGCCTCCTCCTGTTCCTCGTCATCCTCCTCCCTTTCCTCGTCCTCCTCCGCCTCTTCCTCCCTCTTTATCTCATGTTTTTGTTTTGTTTTCTCTCTCTCTCTCGCATATATATACATATACATATATATATATATATATATATATATACCATATCTATATTTTTAAAAATTATATATATATATATATTTATATATATTGGTAGAACGGCCACAGGGTCATACTGACGCGGCATCCTCTCCTCTTCCCATTGGTTCTCCTCCTTCCCCGTCCTAACTCCTCCTGTCCTGCTCTCCTCCTCTCCTCACCTCCTCCTCCTCCTCCGCCCGCTGCCGCCGCCTCCGCATCCGCCTGCCTTTCCTCTCCATCCTCCTCCTCATCCCTCCTCCTCTCCTCACCCCTCCTCCTCCTCTCGCCTCCGCCTCCTCCTCCGCCTTCCTCCTCCTTATCTCCTCCTCTCCTCCTCCTCTCCATCCTCTTCTTATCACTCTCCTCTCCTACTCCTCCTCCTCCTCTCCTCTCCTCTTCGCCTCCGCTCCTCCTCAGCTGGGTCGCTGCTGCTCAGCTGGGTCTTCACCTTTATCCTCCTCCTCCTCCTCTCTACCTCCTCTTCCTTTTCCTCCTTACCTCCGCCTCCTCCTCCTCCTCGTCCTCATCCTTCCTCCTCCTCCTCTTTTTCCTACTCCGCTCCTCCTACTCTCCTCCTCCTCCTCTCCTCATCATCCTCTCCTCTTGCTCCTCCTCCTCTATCCTCCTCCTCCTCTCTATTTCCTCCTCCTCCTCCTACCTCGTCTCTCCTCCTCACCCTCCTCCTGCCCCTCCCCTCCCCCCTTATTTCTCCCCTTACCCCTCCTCCTATTCAGCCCCACCGCCTCCCCCTCTCCCACCCCTGCTCCTTCTCCTCCTGTCCCTCCTCGTCGTCCTCCTCTTCTCCACCTCTCCGCCTCCTCATCCTCCTCCCTCCTCCTTCCTCTCCGCCTCCTCCTCTCCTCTTCCTCCTCCTCCTCCTCCTCACTCTCATTATCATCATCATCATTCTATTCATCATCATCATCATCATCATCATCATCATCATCATCATCATCATCATCATCATCATCATCATCATCATCATCATCATCATCATCATCATCATCATCATCATCATCACCATCATCATCATCATCATCATCATCATCATCATCATCATCATCATCCCCATCCTCATCCTCATCCTCATCCTTACCCTCCTCCCTATCTGGTTCTCTCTCTTTCTCTCGTGTTCTCTCTCTCTCTCTCTCGTTATTTCTCTCTCTATATATATCGCTCTCTCTCTCTCTTTCTCTTTCTCTTTTTTCTCTCTCTCTCTCTCTCTCTCTCTCTCTCTCTCTCTCTCTCTCTCTCTCTCTATATATGCAGATACATGTGTATCACTCTATGTTTCTCTCTCTCGTTCTCTCTCACTTGATGTGTGTGTGTCTCTCTCTCTCTCTCTCTCTCTCTCTCTCTCTCTCTCTCTCTCTCTCTCTCTCTCTCTCTCTCTCTCTCTCTCTCTCTCTCTCTCTCTCTCTCTGTCTTTATATATATATAGTGTTCTCTCTCTCTCTCTCTCTCTCTCTCTTTCTAGTGTTATTACTATAGATCCCTCCCTCTCTCTCCTCTCACTATGTCTCTCTCCATATTCCCTTTTCTATATTTACACAATCCGGGGGGGTGGGACCCCCCCCCCCCCCCCCGGGAAATCGGACCCCCGGAATCTGGCGCGTTTGGAGCCCCGTGGACGCCTGGCAAGGGGGTCCCCCGAGCCTTCCGGGCCTCCTGGACGCCCCTGGCCGGCCTTTTGCTTCTCTGGACGTCCCTAATGTCCTTGCGAAGCCTCTGCAGTGGGCTAGCGGGAAGCTCACAAAACGGCCCCAGAGCCTACAAGACGCTCCAAAAGGCCTTCCAAGACGCTTCCGAAGAGGCCCCAAGAGGCCACAATTGTTGATTCCCCATGGTGTTTTTCGAAGTTTTTGGCTTTCTCGCCTTTTCGGCTTCCCGACGTTCCAAGACGGCCCAAGAAGCTCCCAAGACCGCCGCAACACGGTCCAAGAGGCCCCCTACACAGCCCCAACACGGCCCAAGCGGGCACCGAGACGGCCCAAGAAGCGCCCAAGAGGGCAACAAGGCCCCGCAAACATCCCAAGATCTAGCTTTCCGGTCCACGAGAGCCCCAAAAAGGCCTAAGAAAACCCCAAGAGGCGCCCCAACACACCCCCACGAGGCTCCGAGAGGCTCCAATCGGCCCCCAGGAGCCCCAAAAAGACCCCATGAGGCTTCAAATCGACTCCCAAGAGGCTTCACACCAGCTTCCCAGAAAAGCCCGAGAGGCGTACCACGCGATCCCCACAGGCCCCCAAAAGGCTCCCAAGAGATACGCCACACGGCCATGGAAGTCGTCCGAAAAAGCCAATGGAACTTCCAAAGGGCCGAAAGCTTCAGAAGGCCCCTCAAATCCCACAGTTCCGAGGACGGCCCAACAGGGCCCCAAAACAATCCAAAAGAGCTCCAAGAGGGCCCAGAATCTCCGAATCCCAGTTTCGCGACATTCCCGTGAGGCACGTGCGTCGCGAAACCTGCATTATGTCGATCTCGGTGTCCCACGTGCGTATTTCTTACAGCTGAGCCCGTGTTCTTTTACCTCCACGCTCGTTGTGTACATGCATCCGTAGCCTTCGGCTTTAACTTTTTCCCGTACCGACACTCCCGGAGGAAAAGTGTGTGCGTGTGCGTGTGCGTTTGCGATGTTTGTGCGTGTGTGTGTGTGTGTACGTGCGCGTGCGCGCCGCGTCCACGGGGCCCTGGAAGCCCAAGGAGTTTCATTGAGGCCGCAGAACCCCCCTCGGAGGCTTTAGGACACCCCAAGGCCCAAGGTCCCCACGGGCCCGAAAACCCAAAACGGCCCAGAAGGCCACAGAACGCCCCAGGAGACCCCCCGGAAGCCCCAGGAGGCTTTGAAGCGGGGCCTCGACACAGAGCAAGAAGGTCTGGGTTACCAAAAAGTACCAGGAGATACCTCGGGGCTCCATTTTGGGAAGATGGTTCACGCAGAAGCGACATTCTCTGACGATCGGTGTCCAAATGGTGGACTTCGCAATGTGTTCTTACACGTGTCATGTTCACACTTAAAAATACTATGTGGCGTTTGACCTGTCTCGCAAGATCTGCGAAAGGAACGCATTCGATTGGCATCTTTGGGAGGATGTAACGGCCGGAAAACTCAATGACGGACGCATTCATTCCCTCTGAGCTCTACTTATTCGTGGAAGTGCGTGTGATGATGCACATATGTGCACCTTTCCCCCAACATAACAGACAGCTTCAATTTCCGTAGCCATTTTGGCTCAAACCCATTGCGCCTACAAGGGTGAAGTCGCGGTGACCATGAGGGACTCTTTTTGGGTTTCGTTCTGGCTCGTTCGCTGCGTTCGGCAGACGGTTCGCGACAGCCTGCTCAAGAAAACGCTGCGCACCGCAGATCTGCCAAGCGGCTGGCGCGCCCTGCCTCCCAGCGCGGAGCTGGTGCCAGCCATGGACGTGCACATGGAAACTCTCACTGCCGCGGAGCTCAAGGACCCGTGTGAGCATTACATTCAACCACCCTGGCGTCGTTCAACTGGGCCCCCCCCCCCCTCCACCCCACAATTATCGACATGCACGTTCGGTTCCCTTCGGGGGGCGCGGCCTGTGCAACACCCAGGGCGACAATGACGCCAGGGTGGTTCGCGATGTGAGTCCACGCCCACATATGTGAGGCCCTCCTTCCGGCGTTGTCGACGTGGCGCGACACGTACGTGCCCACCAGCGAGTGGAACGCGTACAACCACACGGGGTCAACCAGCACGGCTCCTTTGTACGCGAGGAGCATGGAGGGCGAGAAAGTACGTTTGGAGTACACTGACAAAACGGGCCGGGCTCAGACACACATACTGAATCAGTGCCCGCAGCACGCTCGAGATAGCACGGCGCCGTTGCTCGAGTTCCTGCACCCCCCTTGCGCATTGCGCATAATTGCCGATCATGCGAACACCATCGCCGGAGCCAAGGGAGCGGTGGCAAAGCTCAACGTGGTCCTCCAGCAACACCCCGGGCACCCAGCCGACCTGATTGGCGACAGTTTCAATCCTTGGAAGCTACAGAAGAATAGACTCGCCAAGCTCCACGCAGCGAAAGCCGCGCGAGAGCTCAGAAAAATTGCCGCCAACAGCAGATGCTTCCTGAGCGCGCTCACGGAGCTCGGCCACAAAGGCGGCGCGGTACCGGCCCTGTTCGCGGCGTCCGCCGAAGAGATGGAAGGGGTGCTCGCGGCGTCACCTGGGTACGGCAGGTTCGTGTCGTGCCGACCCCAGCGTTGGTTTTCGACACCGCAGGGATCGTTCAACCTTGAACGATCGGCCGCTGCCGCAACGTCCAAATCGTTCCACATCGAACGATTCTGGGTCGCCGGCGGCGTTCAACCTTGAACGCCCGCGCTGGGGTCGCCGACGGTCGACACGACGCGAACCTACCGTAGAGAAGCTTCAGAGTGAAGAATGCGTTGCGCATTCGACAGCCCTCGTCGCGGTGCCTGGATCACGGGCGGCACAAGAAAACTCCCGCGGTCGTGCTCGCAGGCAGCGGGCCGCGCCGCGTGGTGTCCCAGCGATTGGGCACCACGGTGTGGGCAACCGGGAAACGCGGACGACCGGTTCGCAAGGTTGCCGTGCTTCACGCCCAGAACGCCGCCGCCATCCAGCTGTGGACCGTCCTGATCCGGCAAGCTGGAGCCACGCGCGTGAAGGCTTTCCAGGAGCACAAAGCCGCGACTCTTGCTAAGTTCAACCACGACGTGGTGCGGCGGGTGTACTCATTCTGTGAGCAGGCCACCCTCACGAATTACGGCGCGCAGTTCTCCTTTTGCGAAGAGTCGCAATTGCTGGCTCGGCTCGGGGGCGCTGCAGCAGAAGAGGACGCAGAGGCCGGGAGTGACTGGGAGAACGTGGCAGCCGGCGACGAGCACGAGGTCGACGAGGCCGCTGCTGCTGGCGGCGCCTGACGGCCGACCACTTAATTCGGAATGCAAGCGCGCTGGGGCGGAAACAGACTTCCTCCCCCTGACACCTCCTGCTGCTGGCCTCAGACTCGATTCCCGGTAACGAGAGACAGCACACATGTGTGCGTCGCAACAATATTCGGGAAATCCGTTGTGAACTTGGGATTCGGTGCACTTCCCGAGAAGATCGCACGTCGACGTTTGAGGCCCGAGGTTCGCAGGGCAAGAGTCGAGAGGGGAAGGCGCAGATCACGGTTCGCAGCTCGACACTTCAGGTTTTCCTGTAATTTTCTATTCTTTCGGGGCCTCCGCTCTCTCGCCGCCACGTTGCAGGGGCCGCTTCAAAATTCAGTTCCAAACGCAATCCTAAATGAGCTTGCCGCACTTCAAGGCCAACATGGATGAGGCGAACAGCCATTTATGCTCGATTCGAAGGACCAAGGTGCATGGCGCGAAGCGCCAATGCAGTCTTGTATATATATATATATATATATGTCCCCCCAAGACCACACATGTTATCGTGAATCGCATTCACGTTCATCATAGTCGTATTCGTTATTCCCGTCCCTTCGTCCGTCCTCCCCCTTTTCCAAACACCATTCCTCCTTCTCCTCATCCTCGCCCATCCTCCTCCTCCTCCGCATTATCCTGTCCGTTCCCTCCTCTTTGTAATAACACAAAAACAAGAATCCACAGTGAGTGGCGCCATCGATGCAAGGAAATGCTGTGTATGTTTGTTGTTTCTGATTTTTGTCTGGGATGCAAGGAAACACTATGTATGTTCGGTCACTTTGGTTTTTGGGCGTGTTGGAAGCTCTAGTGATCCCCGCGGCCTCCCCCCCAGCACCTCCTCGTTTCCTTTTCCTCCTCCCTGTTGCAAAACGAAAAACCAAAAATACACACTGTCTGGCGACCTCAATGCAAGGAAACGCTGTGTATGCTTGTGTTTCTATTGTTTGGCTTGTGCAAGGAAACATTGCGTATGTTTGGTTATTTTGTGTTTTTGGTGTTTGAAGCTCAGGTGCTCCCCGCAACCTCCTCCCAGCACCTCCTCCTTTCCTTTCCTCCTCCTCGCTGCGAAGCAAGAAGACCAAGAAAACATAGTGGTTGGCGGCACCGATGCCAGGAAACGCTGTGTATGTGTGGTTGTTCTGGTTTGGGGGGGGGTGGGATGCAAGGAAACATTGTGCATGTTTTTGTGTTGGAAGCTCCAATGATCCCAGCGCCCCCCCCCAGCACCTCCTCCTTTCCTTTCCTCATCCCTGTTGCAAAGCAGAAAAACAAAAAAGTGTGTTGGCCCCCATCGATGCAAGGAAACGCTGTGTATGGTTGGCTGTTATGTTTTTGTTTAGGATGCAAGGAAACATTGTGTATGCTTGGTTATTTGTTCCCAACCATCCTGTGGTGTTGGGTCCTCGGAATAGACAGCGCCCCGCGTCTCCTCCTTCCTTCCTTCCTCCTCCCCCTCCTCCCTTCTCCGTCCTCCCTTCTCCCTCATCCCCCTCCCCCTCCTTGCCTTTGCTCTCGGCACACCTCTCACACGTTTCGTAGCCCCATAGGGAGCTCCACCAAAGGTCCCAGTGGCACAGCCCGCATGCGGTTCCCTCACCCGGGGCAGCGTTTCGTGGCCCCATGGGGAGATCCACCGAAGGCCTCAGTGGGGGGGGGCGCATGCGGTTCCCCCACCCAAGGCAGCGCTTCGTGGCCCCATAGGGAGCTCCACCGAAGGCCCCAGTGGCTGCTCTCGCATGCGGTTCCCCCACCCAGGGCAGCGTTTCGTGGCCCCATAAGGAGCCCCACCGAAGGCCTCAGTGGCTGCTCTCGCATGCGGTTCCCCCACCCAGGACAGCGTTTCGTGGCCCCATCGGGTGCTCCACCGAAGGCCCCAATGGCTGCTCTCGCATGCGGTTCCCCCACCCAGGGCAGCGTTTCGTGGCCCCATCGGGAGATCCACCGAAGGCCCCAGTGGCTGCTCTCGCATGCGGTTCCCCCACCCAGGGCAGCGTATCGTGGCCCCATAGGGAGCTCCACCGAAGGCATGTGTGTTCGCGCGTGCTCCGCCCTCGGGCGTTCGGAACCCATCTGGTTTCACAATTGTCCCGCCCTGGGGTGTTAGGAACCGATGCGTTTTCACGCTTCTCGAGCCTCATGGGGCCTCCTGGGGGGCGGGGGGGGGGCGCGAAAAGCGCTCCCCGAACGCGTACCCGATACAGAGCAATGCATCCCGGGGCCTCCTGGGGCGAAAAGCGCCCCCCGAACCTATATCCCCAATACAGAACAATGCCGCCTGGGGCCTCGTGAAGCCTCCTGGAGCCTCCTGGGGCCTCCTGGGGCGTTAGGAACCCATGTGCTTTTGCGCTTCTCCCGCCCTGGGGCTTTGGGAACCCATGTGCTTTCACGCTTCTCCCGCCCTGGGGCGTTAGGAACCCATGTGTTGTCACGCTTGTCCCGCCCTGGGGCGTTAGGAACCGATGTGTCCCGCCCTGGGGCGTTAGGAACCCATGTGCTTTCACGCTTCTCCCCCGCCCTGGGGCGTTAGGAACCCAAATGTTTTCAAGCTTGTCCCGCCCAGGAACGTCAGGGACCATGTGTTTTCACGCTTCTCGAGCCTCATGGGGCCTCCTGGGGGGCTGGGGGAAGCGAAGAGTGCTCCCCGAATGCACATCCCACTCCAGAACATACGTAACATAACCTTTTCACCTGAGACATCCTCTGAATTCTGGTCCCCAGGAGAGAAACAAGATGTAACATAAAACAAACGTTTCGCTCGAAACATCCTCAACGATGTCTGAACATGATCGGACCACGAACCCGTAAAGGAATATAGAAATGTAACACATGGCAACGTTTTCAAAGAAACCTGGTTGGGTGACGGGCAAATGCAATGCTGAGTGTATCGATCTTGATGTACCCTGCCGAAGGCTGTGCTGTGCTGCGCCGTGCTGAACTGCGATGTGCCTGCCATGCCGCGAGTGTGCTCTATAATGTTGTGGATCGAGTCATCCTTTGCGTCCGAGTCCTGACCGAACTGATCTGGATCTTAAGCTCGAGCTGCCTGAATACATAGTAGCTGCCCCAGAGCTAATTGACAGGGGGACATGCCAGGAGGACGCGCCGCGGAACGTCTCAAGGGACGCGCCAAGCGACGTGCCAGGGGACGTGCCATGGGGACGCACCGCGGGACGTGCCAAGGGGACGCGCTACGGAACGTGCCAATGGATGTGCCAGGGATGTGCCAGGGGACGCGCCACGCGACGTGCCAGGGGGACTCGCCATGGGACGCCCCACGGAACGTGCCAAAGAACGTGCCAGGTTGCAATGCTGAATGTATCGAAGCTGATGTACCGTGCCGAAAGCTGTGCTGTGCTGCGCCGTGCTGAATTGCGGTGTGCCACGCCGCGATTGTGCTCTATAGCGTCGTGGATCGAGTCATCCTTTGCATCCGAGTCCTGACCGAACTGATCTGGATCTTAAGCTCGAGCTGCCTAAACACATAGCAGCTCGCCCAAGGCTATCGACAGGGAGACATGCCAGGAGGACGCGCCGCGGAACGTCTCAAGTGCCAAGGGACGTGCCATGGGGACGCACCGCGGGACGTGACAAGGGGACGCGCTACGGAACGTGCCAGTGGACGTGCCACGGGACGTGCCAAGGGAACGCGCCACGCGACGTGCCAGGGGTCGCCAAGGGACGCCCCACGGAACGTGCCAAAGAACGTGCCAAGTTGCAATGCTAAGTGTATCGATCTTGATGTACCGTGCCGAAGTCTGTGCTGTGCTGCGCCGTGCTGAATTGCGATGTGCCATGCCGCGATTGTGCTCTATAGCGATGTGGATCGAGTCTTGACCGAACTGATCTGGATCTTAAGCTCGCTCTGTCTGAACACATAGTAGCTGCCCCAGATTGACAGGGGGACATGCCAGGAGGACGCGCCGCGGAACGTCCCAAGGGACGCGCCAGGCGACGTGCCAGGGGACGTGCCATGAGGTCGCACCGCGGGACGTGCCAAAGGGACGCGCTACGGAACGTGCCAATGGACGTGCCACGGGACGTGCCAGGGGACGCGCCGCGCGACGTGCCAGGGGGACTCGCCACGGGACGCGCCACGGAACGTGCCAGATTGCAACGCTGAGTGTATCGATCTTGAGGTACCGTTCCGAGGGCTGTGCTGTGCTGCGCTGTGCTAAACTGCCATGTGCCATGCCGCGATTGTGCTCTATAGCGTTGTGGATCGAGTCATCCTTTGCATCCGAGTCCTGACCGAACTGATCTGGATCTTAAGCTCGAGCTGTCTGAGCACATAGTAGCTGCCCCAGAGCTAATTGACAGGGGGACATGCCAGGAGGACGCGCCGCGGAACGTCTCAAGGGACGCGCCAAGCGACGTGCCAAGGGACGTGCCATGGGGACGTACCGCGGGACGTGCCAAGGGGACGCGCTACGGAACGTGCTGGGGACAAGCGTTTCGCTCGAGCCATCCTGTCAAAATCCTCATGCTAGACATCCGCCTGAGCGACCTGGACACGTGAAAACCAGCGTTTCGCTCAACACATCCTCAACATACAACGTGCTGGGGACAAGCGTTTCGCTCGAGACATCCTGTCAAAATCCTCATGCTAGACATCCGCCTGCGCGACCTGGGCACGTGAAAACAAGCGTTTCGCTCATCCTCAACACATTCTCATGCTAGACATCCGCCTGGGCGAACTGGACACGTGAAAACAAGTGGTTCGCTCGAGACATCCTCAACATATCTTCATGCAAGACGTCCGCCTGGGTGACCTGGGCACATGAAAATAAGCGTGTCGCTCGAGACTTGTTCAACACCTCCTCATTCTAGACATCCGCCTGGGCGACCTGTACACGTGAAAGCAAACGTCTCGCTCGAGACATCCTCAACACATCGTCATGTTAGACATCCGCCTGGGCGACCTGGATACGTGAAAACAAGCGTATCTCTCGAGACATTCTCAACACATCCTCATGCTAGGCATCCGCCTGGGC